GTGAAAGTCATGTCCAGAGGCCTCTCAGAACCCTAAGTTTGAGAATAGCACTGAGAGATGGATGTGGATATATATGCTGATTGACCAATCTAAGCTATCAGGTCTGTTTTCATACTTCACTTATAACCCTGGAGGCAGGTACTATTTTTTCTGCTGCCAATTACACATACCAGGCCCTCTACAGATTCGCTCACCCCTGATAGCTGAAACCAAAACCACTGAGAGTCTGCTGTGGGAATCACACAGGGGGGGCCAGTAACGACAATGACTGAGGTGAATCAAGTGAGTCTGTGCCAATCTAGAGAGTGCATGCCAACCCAGCCCCTGCTGCATACTGGCTTCCATTTAAACATTTTCTTTATATTTAGGTTCAGTTTACATAGAGCAAACTGCACAAGTCAGTGTATTGTTTAATGAGTGCCACCATACATTTCAGACTATTATGAATAGAACCTTTCTGTCACCCAGAAATTTTCCTCATGCTCTTACCTAGTCAATCCCTAGTACATCCCTAAAATCATCAAAGATTAGTTTTGCCTAGTCTACAACTTTATATAAAGATTTATTTGAGAGCAAGTGAGCATGCATGCATGCAAACTGGGTGAGGGGGAGTGGGAGAGAGAGAAACTTAAGCAGGCTCTGTGCTGACTGTGAAGTCCAAAGTGGGGCTCGATCTCAGGACCCTGAGATCATGACCTGAGTGGAAACCAGGAATCAGATGCTTACCTAGCTGTGCCACCCAAGTGCCCCATTCTAACACTTTATTTAATAGAACACCTAATTTTTAAAGAGAACTTGAAACTATGCTTTAATAAAACTTTATCAACTTTTAAATGTCAGAAGCCAACACAGGAATTTATAAAACAATGTGCAGACCCAACAAAACACACAGGCTAAATTCAGCCTACCAGCAATGCGGCCCCTTTCTGCCTGGCCTACCGTATAAAGCAAGATATATTTTGCACAAACTTCTTAATTTTGCTCATGATTGTTGGCTTTGATACTCTACCCTACACTTTTTATTCTTTAGCAACTAATAGTGCGTTCTTTACGAAGGAAGGGAGACAGGGCGTCTGGGTGGCTCAGTCGGGCATCTGCCTTTGGCTTAGGTTATGATCCCAGGATCTAGGGATCAAGCCTGGTCTGGGGCTGTGTGCTCAGCAGGAGCTCCTGTTTTTTTCCTCTCCCTCTGCTCCTCCTCCTGCTTGTGCTCCCACCCCTATCCAATCAATAAATCAATAAATCAATCTTAAAAAAAAAAGGGAGAGCCTCATCTGCAGGGTAGCAAGGAAGCAAGGGGAAGGAATGGGAGACTCAATCCTACTCCATAGCCACCTTGGGAAGAAAGGAATCCCAAGGGAAGGAATGGGTAGAGGCTGATTGGTGAGGAAAAGAAAGCTGGAGACCACCCTGAGGGCGGGCGTAAGAAAGAAGAAACAGATTGCAAAGCTGCCAGGATGTTGACAAAACAGTAAGAAGCCTCATCTTCCCATCACTTCGTAAGCATCCCACCTGAAAAGGCCTCAAAAGACCCCTAAAGATGACTTTAGCCTCTCCCAAGCTCCTGCCCCACACCCCCCACTCTCACAGATGGCCTGTCCTTCCCCTTCCCACCTTGTCACTCTGCTCTAGCCACCTACCTCCCTGCTGTGCTGTGTGTGCCAGGCACGCGCCTGCCTCAGGCTCCTGTCCCAGAGCTGCTCAGAACCTTCTCCTTCACCACCTTCAGGGCTGGGCGCACCATCATTTTCACCGATGGAGCTTTCCCTAACTAACTACCTGATTTTAAAAACTGCCCAGCCAGCTCCTCCACTGCCTTCTCCCGGCTTTATTTTCATCCAGAGCACACATCACCCTCTCACCCACGCTGTATGTCATTTCATTGTCTGTCTTTGAGAATGAAAGCTATGTAAGGACAGGTACATAATAGGAATTCACGGGACATTTATTGAATGAATGGGTGAAATCAAGGAGGGAGGGAAGAAAGAAATGAAAACCCCTGCTAGCTTTGGAGACTTGTTAAGTGTTCAATCAGACAGGGACCAGTTAAGAAAATTTTATCTTTTCTAATTGTCTTGCAACATTTCCACTGGATATTCTTTTCTAATTATCTTTCAACATTTAATTGTTTTGAGGGAGTAAAGATTTAAAAAGCAAACCAGTAAGAATCCTAGGGACCAGACCAACCCTAAAAATACTTATTAACTTCAAAAATTAAGTTTGTGGGAGGAAAAAATGCTTAAGCACACAACTGAGCATTTGAGTTTAGTAATAATTTTTTTACTTAAAGTTTTAAGTTAAAGTTTTAAGTTAAAGTTATAAGGACAAACCCATCTTTTCATAGTACATTTACTCCTGTCTCTTTTAAAAAAGATTTTTAGGGCAGCCCAGGTGGCTCAGGGGTTTGGTGCCGCCTTCAGCCCAGGGCCTAATCCTGGAGACCTAGGATCAAGTCCCACGTTGGGCTCCCTGCTGGAGCCTGCTTCTCCCTCTGCCTGTGTGTCTGCTGCTCTGTGTCTCTCATTAATAAATAGATAAAATATTTTAAAAAAATAAAAAATAAAAAAGATTTTTAAGTAATCTCTACACCTAACATGGGGCTCAAACTCATAACCTTCAGATCAAGAGTCACATGCTCCACTGTCTGAGCCAACCAGGTGCCCCACATTTACTCTACCTTAATTTAAGAAGAAGGTAAAGAATAAATTATGAAATAACAAAATAGCATGTGCCTAATATTACTAAATATTTGAGAATAATGACAGCAATAAGCATATGAAAATTAATACAAGACTTTTTTTTTAATGGCAGGGATCCGGCTCAAGATAGATGGAGAGGTGGGAGCTAGCTGGTTCTGTTGGTCTGCATTAGGTCTTGGATACCAGGTAAGGGCAGTTCCTCTAAAACACAAAGGTAGGGATCCCTGGGTGGCGCAGCAGTTTAGCACCTGCCTTTGGCCCAGGGCGCAATCCTGGAGCACCGGGATCGAATCCCACGTCAGGCTCCCTATATGGAGCCTGCTTCTCCCTCTGCCTATGTGTCTGCCTCTCTCTCTCTCTCTGTGTGACTATCATGAATAAATAAATAAAATCTTAAAAAAAAATAAAACATGAAGGTAAAGAACTCTGGTGTCAGTAGCTTTCCTAGGTTAAGAAAAAAAAATATTCCTCAACCCAAGACATCATTTAGAATTAACTCAGGCCCTGGGATCGGTCAGTGCTGGATTAGACCAAGTGTGTTCAGGCTGCCAATTCACCTGTAGAGACACCCCTCCATCCACCATGATTGGAAGATGGCAGGGAACATGCTGGAATCATGGGCACAAGTCCATATTTTCCAACACATAGCAGGTGAAATACAATGATTTGCCTACGTTTTAGAAAGCCTGAGAATGAATCTGGAGCAGCTATAAGGCCAGCAGCAGAGAGAAGAGAAAGAAATTAAGGGCAGCTCCCTTGCAATCCATGGGCCCTCTTACCCTTGTTCTACGTCTCCTCCTTAATGCCTTTCCACCTTTTGTCAACTCATGTCCGTTTCTCTTTTACTAATCTGACAGTCACACATACATAGTTTTTTTTTCGTCTTCTAGGTGTTTTGGGATGTGAAGGGCAATAGGAGAAAAAAAGAGTAGGATAAACAGAAATGAATTTCATGGATTACAATTTAATAAGTTACATCTTTAAATCTGAGAATAATTTTCAAAGTGTTAACATCTACAGAATTAACAACATAATGGCAACAAGACCGGGTCCCAACGAATGACTAAGGTAAACAATATGCTCTTTTTTTTCCTATCCCAGTTCTTGTAACTGGATAGTCTACAACTACCTGAGAAGGTGCGAGGATCACCTTTTTTATCTTAGTTTGGACACAGAAGCTCACATTTCAGCAACGATCAAGGTCATCATCTTTATCCCTTGCTGACACTTTTCTCCCATACCCCTACCAGTCACAGATCACCTCTAGGAAAAAATTTCAACAGGCTATTGAACACTGGCATGGATACCCAGAGGAGAGAGACAATCGTCTCTGGGGACACTGAGGAACAGCTAGTCATCCTGGATGGGCAAAGTTACACCGAGTTCAGTCCATCAAACGCACTGGGAACTAAGGACTCGCAAAGCACTGTGGGAATACTGAAGCAGTGAGAAGGCACAGCACCTTCCCTGAATGAACTGAAACGGCCCGGTGCAGACTGCTTCTTAGGAAGGCATATTTAGGCTTGGTTACCACTGAGTGTATGGAATCCTGGGCCAGGCTATGGAGACCAGGGATTTTGTGGGCCTGCTTTCTATCTTCAGGTGACATGATCTTAGAATCAGTTCTTGGTGAGTATTTAACCCAGTGATTCTCAATCTTGGCAAGACATTAGTGTTTCCTGGTTGCGGGGGGGGGGGGGGGGGGGGGTTGCGGGGCGGCTGCTTTTAAAAAACAGAGATGTCTGGGCCTGCCCTAGTCCAATTTAAATCAGAATCTCTGATCCAGTTGCCTTTTTTTTTTTTTAATAAACTTTTCCTGTGATTCAAATGCATAGAATTATACTTGGTAGACAACTACTGATCCCATATGACACAGAAAAACAAATTAATAAAAAAATTAATCTCTAAAGAACTTAACTGACTTGTTACTTGTCCAAGATCAGACACCTAGTTACAGATACACCTTGGATTAAAACCATGGTCTCCACCAATTTACTCATCCAATTAACATCTATCAATGGCATTGTAAGGTTGAGACCAACCACCTAGCTGTCACTCAAGAATAAGGTAAGTCAAAGCTGCTTCATATCTAAGGATCAGTTAGGCTGGTCCTGATCTAAGTTAAAAGGAGAGGGTAAGCTGTGCTGCTTCTGGCAATCTCTCTCTTACCCTTTCCTTCCAAATAGTGGTGTACGATTCAGGACTCTGGAAATGTTAAGAAATCCTGTGCTCTGCATAAAATCTATCACTACCCATGACCTGCTTTCCCATTTTATTAGTTCTAGGGGGCCCTCTACCTACCCAAATCCAATGTGCAGCACAAAGGGCAGGGGACAGGTCCCCAGATGAGAGATCTGGTATAGTTCAGTGAAACCTTGATTAGTAGGGCTGAGAGCTGGAAAACGGAGAGCTCGCTCCTCGGCCCTAGGACAGAAGAAAGAGAAGGTAAGCCAGTGGTTGCTGGTTTGTTCTTTGAAGGAAATGATGCCCAAAATGTTTCTTAATGTGGTCCATTCATTCCTAACGCCAACCAACTCACTCCCAAGACACTACGCTATTGAAGTGGTTTATACGGAATATGGTAGTTATGTAATACAAAATATACACACACAAACACACATATACATGTGCTTCCCAAAGGTGAACACTGGTGTGTGTGTGTGTGTGTGTGTGTGTGTGAGAAGGCAAGTTCAAATTCTGAATTCAACCATTCCCATCCTGAGTAATTCATGGTTACAAAAGTATGTGAGAAACTGCTCTGAGTAGGGCATTGGTACCAGGAGAAGAATCTCAGAAGCACTTTTCTTGAGAAGAACAAGAAAAAAAAATGAGATTCATGATGTTCAAGATAGAGGCTGATATTGATCATAAAAAATTAACAGGGCAACTCTTTCATCTTTTACAAATAATACAATTATTACTTTCTTTATTTATTATTATTTATTTATTTATTTATGATAGTCAGAGAGAGAGAGAGAAGAGAGGCAGAGACACAGGCAGAGGGAGAAGCAGGCTCCATGCACTGGGAGCCCGACGTGGGATTCGATCCGGGTCTCCAGGATCGCGCCCTGGGCCAAAGGCAGGCGCCAAACCGCTGCGCCACCCAGGGATCCCCAATTATTACTTTCTATTTACAGAGCACTTACTCAAAAGGCCAAGTATTTATTCCATTCCAAAGTAAATGAAGTTGTATCCACTCTGTGGATTTACCCATATCTTTGCTTCATTTCCATTTCCCTCTGACTGAATCACTGCCCCCGTCAAGGGAGGTCTTATTCCCTTGAAAGATATACAGCATTTTGTGTGTGTTTTTAAAGATTTTATTTATTTATTTGAGAGACAGAGTGAGCAAGGGAGAGAGCACATGAGCAGGGGCAGAGGGAGAAGCAGACCCCTGCTGAACAGGAAGCCCAACACTGGGCTCAATCCCAGGACCCCAGGGATCAGGACCTGAGACGAAGGCAGATGCTTCACTGAGTCACCCAAGCACCCCAGATATGCAACATTTTGAATAGTGTATGTATTTTCTAGGGATAAAGTCCTTAGCTTTGACAATATTAAAAAAAAATCTGTCTCCTCCCCCAACCCCATTCCCTAATACAATTGTTTATGAGGGTGAAGCTAAAGAGAAGATGATGTAGTTGATGATTGCTGGTATCTACACTGAGTTTCTGAAATTGGAGATTTTCTGGAAGTGTCTTCCAAAAGAACTGAAGGATGTCATGAAATTGGATCTATCCTCCAAAAGGATGAACTTAGATAAAATATAATTTGGGAAGCACCAGAGGATTACATTTATCCATGCTGACTTTGTCTTCTTTTGTGCACAGTTGTACTAGTTTGAAACCAAAGGAAAATCATCTCCTAACTTTGTTGATTTTGACTTTATTAACTCGATGATAATGCAAACACTAGGGAAGATGGACATATCTTCTTATTTAGTTATATCTCCTAGAAAATCTTTTATTTGGAATAAAATGCTAGAAAAACTACAAAATGATTAGGATATTAGGGGGACACAAATGGCATTTAGGAGGAGATAAAAACTCAACTTGTTTTTCCCAAATTTCAAGCTACACTACAAAGCTGCAGACATCAGAACAATATGGTATTGGCTGAAAAACAGATATACATATCAACAGAACAGAGAGAGCCTGGAAACAAACCCGCACATACGTGATCAGTTAATCTACAACAAAGGAGGCAAGAATATATAATGGGGGAAAAGACAGTCTCTTCAATAAATGATGCTGGGAAAACTGAGCAGCTACATGCAGAAGAATGAAACCGGACCACTGTCTCACACCACACACAACAATAAAACTCAAAATTAAGGACCTAGATGTGTGGCCTGAAACCACAAGATTCCCAGGAGAAAACACATTAGGCCTGGAAAACTCAATTTTTAAAAAAGATTTTATTTATTTATTCATGAGAGACACACAGAGAGAGGCAGATACATAGCAGAGAGAGAAGCTGGTTCCCTGCAGGGAGTCCGATGTGGGACAGGGACTCTAGGGTCACGCCCTGGGCGGAAGGCTGAGGCTCAAGCGCTGAGCCACCCAGGTGTCCCTCAACTGGTTTTGATTTAAATTGAAGACGCAGCACAAACCTGCGTCTACACCTGACAGGTGAGTCCACTGTTGTTGCTGTGGTTTTAATTGGAAAATTATTCTATCTTCCATTCTTCTGCAGCGTTTAGCAAAGCGTCCCATACAGGGAAGGTGCTCGAATACTTGCTGGATTGAGGCAATTCTTTGGTATCGCTCATAAATTAATGAGCAACTTGTAACTCTGTATAGTTTCAGAGTAGTTAAAGAGAAAAAAAAAGAAATGCTACGTCACAGGATTGGGCCTTGAGGTGTTCCCTAACAGGCCAGAAGGCTTTCCAGCAGTGCACTTAAGATAGCAGGCAGAGCAACCTTACCTAGGCGGTCTACACTCGGAGCTTTTTTCTAATGCAAATTAGTCTGACTTTCTCTCCCGGGCCTCTGGCCTCCCACCTGAGTCTTCTGAACAAGAAATGCTACAGTCATTAGACGGTCTGCCCGGCAAAAAAAACGATTCCAAGTTTCATTTCAAATAGGCCTCTGCTTCCTGGGGCATACATACTTCAGCTTGCCCTCTATTTCCAAGCTTAACTTAAATTCTGGATATTATGTGCATTTTTAAAAATTTTATTTACTTATTCGAGAGAGAGAGAGAAAGGCCGAGACATAGGCAGAGGGAGGAGCAGGATTCCTGCAGGGAGCCCGACGTGGGGCTCGAGCCCAGGTCTCCAGGATCACGCCCTGGGTCGAAGGCAGGCGCTTAACCGCTGGGCCACCAGGGCTGCCCTATTATGTGCGTTTTTAAAAAAAGATTTTATTTATTTATTCATGAGAGACACAGAGAGAGAGAGAGGCAGAGGGCGGAGCAGGCTCTCTGCAGGGAGCCCGACGCGGGGCTCGATCCCGGGGCTGGATCCCAGCCCCCCCCCCCCATCCCGCCCTGGGCCGACGGCGGCGCTGAGCCGGGGAGCCCCCGGGGTCCCTACACACTCGGCGCGCTTCTGGCTAAGGCACAGGCCTCCGGGGTCTCGGAGGGGAAACAGCTGAACCTCGGTGCTCTGCAGCCCCAACTACCATTTTTGCTACGAGCGCTCCCATCCACGGGGGACCAGCGCCAGACCCCGAAGCCACAACCCGACGGCTCCCATCCACGGGGGACCAGCGCCAGACCCCGGCGGCCCTCCCTCCGCCCGCTCCCCCCGCTGCGCGCCCGCGACTCCCAGCGCGGCTCCTTCCCGGCGTGTAAGGGGGCGCGGGGGGGGGCAGGGGGGCGGTCGGGGGCGTCAACGAGGAAAGCCGCGGACTGTATCCGCTCGGGCGCAGACACCGCCGGGGCGGCGGCCACTCGGTCGCCTCTTCAGCTTTAGGGAGACTGAGGCCCGCGGACAGACGGCGCGCCCCGCGGCCGGGCCCCCGCCGCCCCTCCTCCCGGCCCGCGCCCCCGCGCTCGGACGCCGCGCCCCTCGCGCGCACTCACCGGCCGGCGCTGCCCGGGGGAGCCCAGGGCCCAGCCGCCTCGACCCGCGCCTCAGCCTCCGCGCGCGGCTCTCGGAGGAGGCGCCGACCTGCTGTGCGGCCAGAACGCCCCGCGCGCCGCCCGCAGCCCGAGCCCGCCCCCTCCGCCCGGGGGACCCCGCCCCCTCCCGGGGACCCCGCCCCCTCCGCCCGGGCCCCGCCCCCTCCGCCCGGGGACCCCGCCCCCTCCCGGGGCCCCGCCCCCTCCCCTCAGATCGGGACCCCGCGAGCCCGACGGCTCCCGGCCGACGGCTGGAACTTCGGGGCGGGGCGTGCCTGGCGCTAGAAGCCGGGCTGTGGGCTCCCGCTGTTCCGGAGCCGCCGCCCCGCCTCCGCCTCCGCCTCCGCCCCCGCCTCCCGCTGGCCGCGCCCCCGCGGGGCCTCGTGCAGCCCAGGGCGGCCCGGGGTCGGGCGAGACGCCGCTTAGTCGTACCGACGGGGCAGCGAGGTCCCCGCGCGGCCACCCCGGCGGCCCTGCGGACTCACGGCCGGGGGCCGCGGAGACGCAGCGGGACCGGCTCCCTCCCTAAGGCTCCGTGGCCGCAGGAGGGCACAGGTCCGTTCTTGAGCCATTCGAGTTAGAATGTACAAAACATCTTTAAAAAAAAAATAAGTAAAAAAGAAGCAAAGCAGGCGCGCCTTCCACTCGGGAGAAAGGCAGACACCGGGGGGCGGCGGCGGCGAACCGGTCTCGTGTCCCGGGCCGGAGCCGGCGGCCGAGCGCTGCGTGCTAGACGGCGCGGCCCGGGCGCCCCGCCCCGCCCCGCCCCCCGGGAGCGTGCTCCTGCCTCTCCGTGGGGACCAGGCCCCGCTGCTCCCGCGGCGTCCCCCCGCCGCAGCCTCGGGCGCCTCTGCTTAGGCCGTCGGCTCGCTGCCCGGGGCGCAGGGGCGCCGCAGCCCCCGCCCCAGCGGAGCACCCCCCCCCCCGCAGGGGCCGACCCTCCTCTGCGCCCCGCTCCGCGCGGGGGCCCCGTCTTCACCGAGACCCGAATCCCGGGCCGAGGACCGACCGCGGGCCCCTGTCCTCACAGAAGGGCGTCCGCAGGGGGCACTGGGTTCCTGCGACAGGGCTGCTGGTGTTCCTTACACATTTGACACTTGGCCTTGCCCATCGTAGCAGGTCCTCCTGTCACCCGCGTGTCTGGGAGCCCAGGACTTAAGTTATGAGGCCGATTCCAGTCACCTGGGGATCTTGTTAAAAAAGCAGATTCTGGGATCCCTGGGTGGCTCAGCGGTTGAGCGCCTGCCTTGGGTCCAGGGCGTGATCCTGGATCCTGGAGCACCGGGCTCCCTGCGTGGAGCCTGCTTCTCCCTCTG